GGGTATTTTCGTCTAATATGGTTAGACTAACTATTCTGTTTCATTTTTGCGCACAATGAGATATGTTCTGTTACCACTGGATAATCATTTCAAACCACCTGTTTATCAGAATATCCCCTTATTCTTATTCAGAACAACCATCGTAGAATGCTAAAAATTTTGACACGTGTCAATAATGCGTAATTTTGTGATGAGTGCCTTATGCGCTCCTCCGCTAAATAAATCTATCCACGCAACTCGTGACCTTAATCAGCCTTCAGGAATATTAATCTTTTTTTCGAAATAGCGAACGCATGTGACACAGTCCTAATAGAAAAACAGCACCTTGATACATTTGGCTCCATATCTGCTACGAAATCTTTACTTTCCTAGGAAAAAAGTGATACTTTTCCGCATGCTACGTGAGTTGGCTGAACAACGTGGAGCAGTACGCTTTGAGGGAGAGGTCTTCCTTCATCTTCCTTCTTTTTGCTCGTTTTAAATTTACTTCGAAATACCTATGTTGGAGTTATCTTTCTTATCGTATTTTACGTTGACCTGGTATGAATGGGACTGACCTACTTTATAAATGCCTGACCCACTGCTACCTCTCAATTTGAACTATTTACCGTCCAGCTGCAACGAATTTCGCAAACCACAATTGCGGTAACTCCAATTTGAAGGCGTAGTGCTCATCCCGACGTCGCTAACAAGCCTAATAAGCACTATATATTAATCTCAGTTGAATTAAACATTCAAAATGGTTCTGAACTGTGACGCCACACGCCTCGTTTTCTCGCGCGAACAAAGCCCAGGCGTCATAGTTGCAGTCGCTGCTGTAATAAATGCCAGTAGAGGGCGTTGGGGTAACGCCGTCCGTAAATAATATGCAGTTGTGCTTTCAGACGGGAGTTTTCTTTGAAGGCGAGCAGGGTTCAGATCTTTCAACTGAAATAATGCTTTTTTATACCAGAGCAACCCCATAGACGGAAGCCTAAATACCAGTACACCGCGGTTGCTATGAGGAGGACAGCCAAATTTGGTTAATCCGATTTTTGAACTGCCTAAGGTTAGCAGATCTGGGAAAAGCGGCGGCATTATGAAGGGAGTCTGATGCGCAAAGCCCTATGACACAGCGGTAGAAGAGAGCTAGATCGTCGACGGACCATCTGTGCGAAGGGGTCCCGAGACCGTCCATTAGAGACTGGCATCGATGAGGCGGACAGCCCTCCTCTGAAAATCATCGAGCATAGATAATGTATTCTGGGTGGCAACACCAGAAACACGTGAGTAGTACTCGAGGCTAGCTTTTGTCTGGGCTTTATACAGAGTGAGAAGACTAAGTGGAGAAAAGTTTTTCTTAGCCCGAAATACGAGAGAAACGTGAGAAACCGTATTACAGCACACACTTCGCAATCGGCGAGATTTTCAATCGGTGGAGGCATTTTAAAATCACGCAAACAGATGTAGACTCAATAGGATGGTTCAGTAATGGCGTCTGCGGCTTCCCAACAGATGTAGCTACACGACGCGCATGCGCTAAACGGCAACCGCAGCGCTGCGGCGGCGTAATTTAAAAACGGTACTTACTTTAAAAACACGCCTCGTAAATAGCCTAACTTTTTCCCAACCGCTGCCGTGATTGACGCGACGTGCCTGGTCAATTCTGTGATCACCTGGACTCAGACGAGCCGAAGTGACCGGCTCCTTGATAGAGCTCGGCCATCCATCGAAACCGGATTAACGCTAGGGTGCTTAGTCGATGTACAGTATTGTCTTTTGGAAGCATTAAACATAAAACTGTACCAGATTGATGAGTCCCAAGCAGATAACGCGTTGACATTTTGGGATGAAGAGGAAGTCTTGTGGCCAGAGACGAAGTCAGCCCTTCACCAGCAAAGCTTCTCTGGGAGGCCACATGATAAAAGCTTGCTTAAGATAGCAGCATGCCATAGCTGATGAGAAGCTTTCGTGATATCAAGAGCAACGACATGCATTGTGAACGTTGCGTTTAGTGATTAGTGTCATTTTGTGTCTGGTTTCCTTTATAAAATCCTGATTTTTTTCAGCTTTATCCTATAGGAATCGGAACCAATGTTTAAATTTTTCGAGACCACCTATGATATGGTAGGACACGAAAGACTCCATCCATCCATTCCTGATCTCACGACCTTGATTTTAAAATTGTTGCAGTCCCAACTTTCGGGCTTCATCCAACTTCGGTATCCAGTAATTTGGAAGCGTGACCGGAAACTTCTACGGATCATTTAAAGACCCTTGTAAGGACAAGGCATTAACACTGGCTGCGAGAAGGAAACGACACCAAAATTCATAAAAAATTGCCCGCTTCCCTTCACGTGATTTTCGCGAAGCTAGAGATTGCCAGCGGATCATATGTGTTTGTACATGGTCTTGGCATGCTGGGCCAAATAGAAGCTATTAAGCTCAGTATCCTAAGAACTGCTTGTCTGTGTTGAAGCTATATAGAGTAATCTAAAAGTCAGGCAACGGTAATACGTTTAGAAATATTCAGGCAGTACGGTAAAACTAAAACAGCAGTGGTTCTTGATTTTTCAACGACTATTCAGCGGTGACTTTGAATTGGACCTTGAAAATGACCTTTAATGTCAAATAATTTTTCAGTGCCTCGCAAAGGACAGTGGGAGAAATTCTACATTTATATCTGACAGTGTGTCGAAATTATTTTGACCTTGCCCTTCTCCGATCTGGATCATGTCTAGAAGTAAGGTATTCCGCCTATATGTATCGAGCATCTAACGTATAAAGAAGCATTCAAAAAATTGACTACATCTTCACTTGACCATGAAGGTTATGCTCAAGGTTTTGATAAGGACGATCAGGATCACGTTAGTTCACCCAAAGTGACAGCTAAACATTTTCCGTCGTATTATCGGGCAAAATCATAGAGAACTATTAAAAAGGTGCCTCGGTATTGATTTGAACCTCAAGCAGGTGGTAGAGCTTCGTTTCAAGGCCCTCAGGAATAACCTTGTATATGATACTACTATGTGTACCTGAAATTGATGTGTTCTTAACACATATTATCAACTGCTGCTGAGAGAGAGGATATCTCCCCAATCAGTGGAAACGCGCTATAGTTGTTCCGCTACCTAAGTGTTCTGATCCTACTAGCTATGGTCAACTGAGACCGATCAGTTTATTGCCAATTTTTTCTAAAGTATTGGAACGCGTTGTTTACGAACAGCTCTGCGCCTACATATATTCTAACAAAATTATTCCATCTAAACAATCTGGATTGCGACAAGGTCATAATACAGCTTCGACACTGTGATTTAACAGACAATATAACAATGGCACTTGATAACCAAAAAGCAGTAGCTATCATACTTCTTGACTTTACTAAAGCATTTGACACCATTAATCACTCACTTCTCGTGTGTAAATGCAGTTATTATGGATTTTCTGAAAAACCTCTTTTGTTCATTCAAACCTACCTTGAAAATAGGTATCAAAAAGTTCGTCTAGATCAACACTACTGAACAAAAAAGTTGTGCTGGTATACCACAGGGATCAGTCTTAGGACCCCTTTTGTTTTCATTATATATCTCAGATTTAAAAACAGAGGTAAAATCATGCAGCATACAATTTTTTGCAGATGATACTCAAATTTTCTATTCATTTAGGAGCAATGACTTGGAAACAGCAAATAATAAAATTTGTCCAGATCTTACCCAAATTGAAAAGTTTAGTAGTAGTTATAATCTTCGTTTGAAACCTTCGAAGACAAATATGTTGGTATATGCAAATAGAATAAAAAACAATACTTTAAAAAAGGACATAGACAAACAATTAAAAGGTAATAAATAAATTAGTTCATGTGGATCATTCTAAGAACCTAGGTATTATAATGGATGATGACTTAAAATTTGTTGTACACGTAAACTATCTAATTTCTCAATGCTACGCTAAAAGCTTTATTTGCAAATAAGGCTATATTACATAAATCTGCGAGAAAGCAATTGTGTGGATCTTTCTTGTTTTCAAGGATATCGTATTGCTTAGTGGTTTATTATCCCCTATTTAGATATTATAACAAGAAATCGTATTCAAAGTATTATGAATACATGTTGCAGACTTGTAAATGGTCTCAGAAAGTATGATCATATATCGAGTATCATTAATGAACTCAAATGGATGAAAATTGATAAAATGTATAAGTACCAGCTCCTATATCTGACTCATAAGGTTCTTTATTCAAAAACACACATCTCTATTTCAGAATACATATATTTACAATGCGATCAAATAATACAATTCTTTAGACCGCAGTTTAAAAGAAACCAACCCATTACCCAAATTCAAGAAAAAAGTTCTACTTCATCAGCAACGAAATCTGTTGTAACCCGTAAGTGGCCTCATAATTTCCTTATGCCTTAACTTAGATTATACTTTATTCTGTCGTTATTGTATACAGGTATTAATTTTCAACAAATTCTATTTTTTTGCAACTCGTATTGTTAATATTATCTAAATCTCGCCTCCTGTAGGAATATTACAAATAAAAGACGTTAATTATGGCTATTATTATTATCAGTGGATAGTCTGGGGGCGGGCGATTACCTTGACCAGAATGATCTTCCTAAATCAATTTTGACCCATGCCTGAACGTAAAATTTTCAGCTCTATCCTTTTCCAGCATCAAAACCATGATTTGACTTTGAACTTCATTATCAAGGTCACCGCTTAATAACCAGGGAAAATGCTAAATCACTATTACTATACGTATGGGACCACACAATCTTTAAATTCGATTTATTTGTTTTAGGTGCAGCATAATCACGTATGTTGAATCAAGATAGTATTTTTCAACATAATTCGTTCATCAGTGAGAGTGTCTGCAATACTATGTAATGCTCGATAAACATACAATTAAATCCGTGAAGCTTTTCAAAATGCTACTAGAATGGCTCCGTATCATCGGATATATCGGATTAGGTCCCCTTTGCAGTTACAAAAACAAGAAAAAATATTTGACTTACTGTACACTTTGAGTTGATCGAGGGGCGGTGGGACTGTCGTGGACTTCTGCGATTGATTGTTCTTTCCGTTCCGGGCAGTGCTCATGAGCCGCTGCCGCTTGATTGGCGGAACCAGCCGTGCCGGTCCGACCGGAAATCCGGCTGCAGTCGAAGCGTAATAACTGCAACAAGAAAAAAATGGTTATTGCCTATCAGATACACACTCCAAGGAAAAAAACTATTGCCTTTGGGGTATAAGGTTTCCAGAAATGAGCTGCTTACTAGAGTGTTGGACAAACATACACAAAAAGACTCAAGCAGCTACACCCCAAGAAAAAGCTCGATACAGTTCGAAACAAACGAATATAAACATTTACCTTGAATAGTGTTAGGGTTTAATTATGCTACTGACCCATAGATGGTGCTAGCATATTCTTTTTTCATACCGAAGCAGCTGCGTAGGCAGGAGTCCAAATACCAGGGTAACGCGGCAGCTATGACGAGCATAGAAACTTCGTTAATCCGATTTTTGAACTGCCTAAGTTTCGTAGAACAAGAAAAAGCCTCCTGAGGCAGACTGCTCAACTAACAGTTATCACTCCTATTAGAGTTGCAAGAATGATTATACAGTATTCCTTACACAGCATTGTATACTGTAAGAACATTGGCAAAACCCTCTTAGAATAGCTATACAAGCGGAATGGGCACACCTAATAGGACACTTCAGTCATTTAAGAGGTTGTATAAGGGCTGCAGGTAACAGTTATACAACAAAAGTGTAAGCCTCTTGCAGCCGCTATAGGACATTTGCATCAGTGCAAGATTCATCAGTTATTGTCAACTATACAACTATTCTGTTACGTGATTCTACTTTATTGCAACCAAACTATTTCTTATGTATTGTATAGACGAAGTAAAGAATATATAACTAACACAATACAGTCATCTTGTTTACTTACATATCGGCCATTGTGAATTTCATACACAGGTATATGATAAACTTCTACACTGTGATATAGGGCTATTGAATTACTTACGCAGCAAATTTTATTGTGATTATCGTGCAAAGTAGTTACGCAATTTCCACGGGCTTCGTATTTGATTCATATTTTGATAATGATCAAAAGTATGTCTAGACTTTTAAGATGGAAAACTGAACTTATCTGCGTTAAATCTTCCATAAATCCTATATTTACACACAATTACACTAATGTTTATCACTTTATATCTGCAATTTCGAACTGAAACATAATTATTTAATATCAAATAGAGGAATAAATGTTTGCCCAATATGGCGGGTGGTTGTGTATAATCATGGCATCGTCCATGTTGTCTTTAGTTTATTAGAATGTTTTGGTGTTGCCTGGAGGTGTTATACAGCAATTTGACAAATGTCAGAAATGAAATACTGACAGAGTCGAATGATTTACCTAGAATTTGTACCAGATCTATATATTCTGTTTGAACAGTTGATAAAACCTTTTTAACCAATATACATGCGTTGTTTGTCTTAAAATATTGGTTATGGCATTTTAACAAAAATATGACGGCAGAAAGTTAGGTTATGGTGAAGTTGTATACCAAAATATTTAGCATATGTACAGCCTTCAAGAGTTACTAAACAACAGTTGTGCTTCCGTTGGGAGCAATTTGTTGGCTAAAGTAGTAAATTTGCACAGCAAAACAACAAGACACAACCATTTTGACTAACCTGCATATATGCCGTATAAAATAGTTGTATAAACGTTTATGCAACAGAAAAATTTGTCCTATAAGGTGTTGTGTAACTATGCTATAAGAATATTTTAAACACCTCATTTTAGAGCAAATATGATGCAGAAAGAAAATTTGCATTCCACACAACATTAAGCTAGCATTTTGGTGTTCAGGCAACAACAATAGAGAGATTTTATGGCTGAACGGTTCTTTTACCAAAAGCTTATAGCACTACTTTGCTAGTTGGGTGTTCCACAATCTAGATAACCTAGGGACAAAAGAGCGGTCGTATTGGTCAGTTCTGAATGATCCTGGATGTACGTGGGCGACATCTTGGAGGAGAGCTCTGTAAAGCAAAGTCCGGTAACTTAACGGTAGAAGAGAGCTAGATCGCCAACAGCCCATCGGTGTGAAAGGGCCCCGGAACTATCCGTTAGAGAGGGGCATAGATCGAAACCGGATGAGCAATAAAGCGCTTCGAGATACAGTAAGTGCTGCATTTGACTGCAGTTGACCGGATTGTTGTGTCCCCAAGCAGTGATAACTTTCAGGTCTGTCGTCAGAAAGCTGTGGATAGACTGATAATACAGGGTAGAAGGTCAATTATCTCTTGGCTTATGTAATGTCTACTTTTGTTGGGTATCGCCAAGCATTAATTAACGGATTCAACTGGAAAATTCACACTAGAGAGGCCAAGCTAGCCCTAGCTATTTACAAAGTAGGTTTCTGAATTTATTAGTTTTTTCTGCCACTGTCTCGGAGCTAGCGCTAGTGTCTTTCAGATCCTGTTTTGAACGCTATTTTTATCTAGAATGACACAAAAATCAGAACATTGCTCGAGTTTTGTAGTGCTCGAAAACTGTGTTTCAACCTCGGCTCCAATTCAACAGGGAGAACCATTGACAATATATAGTATAGACATCGTCGTTCATTCATTGTTAGTTTATTTTTCAGAGATGACAGGCAGGGCAAAGTGGCTACGAGCTTAGAAACTTCGTTAATCCGATTTTTGAACTTCCTAAGTTTAGTGGAACTATAAAAAGCCTCCTGAGGTAGACTGTTTCACAATGTAGATACCCTAAGGACAAAAGAGCGGTCGTATTGGCCAGTTCTGAATGATCCTGGATGGACGTGGGCGACATCTTGGAGGAGAACTCTGTAAAGCAAAGTCCGGTAACTTAACGGTAGAAGAGAGCTAGATCGCCAACGGCCCATCGGTGTGAAAGGGTCCAGGAACTACCCGTTAGACAGGAGGCAATGGTCCTTCGGGTATACATCGAAACCGGATGAGCGATAGAGCGCTTCCGGATACAGTAAGTACTGCATTTAACTGCAATTGACCAGATTTGTGCGTCCCCAAACAATGATAACCTTCAGGTGTGTCCTCAGATAGGAAGTCGCTGCTAGTTTTCCAGCATGTAGAGTGATGTCATCAGCAAAGCTGTGTATAGGACTGATAATACAGGAAAGAAGGTCAATCGTCTCTCGGTTTCTGTAATGTTTACTTTTTTTGGGTATCGCCAAGCATTGATTAACGTATTCCACCGGAAGATACAAAATTAAAATTCACATTAGACAGGCCAAGCAAGCTCTAGCTATTTACAAAGTAGGTTTCTGAATTTATTCTTTTGTTCTGCTACTGTCTCGTAGCTAGCGCAAGTACCTTTCAGACTCTTTGTTGAACGCTCGCTAGAATACTTTAATCAATGACACAAAAATCAGAACGTTGCTCTAGTACTGTAGTGCTCAAAAACTATTCCAACCTCGGCTTCAATTTAACTCTGAGAACCACTGCCAATATATAGCACAGACACCGTCGTTCATCCATGATTAGGTATTTCTTTATTTTTCAGAAACGACTGGTGGCTACCACGGTGGAAAGAATAATATTTTAACCAGTGTCCCAACTTGATGCAAATACCACCGGTCTTTCTCTGAATGCCTATATAGATCTCTTGTAGGTTCAGGCATCCTAAAAATATAATGAAAGTGCCTTAAATGTAAAGCTACAATACCAGTTTTGAGAAAAATCATAAAGCCGGTGAAGTTCGTGACCTCAGACCGTGGCCAACAATTGATAATCTAAAATCACAGAACACAGATTGCTCGACGGATACTGCTTCAGATTCATGGTCTTAGCTGTGTTACGTATTTCTACGATAACCAACGTTTGTTCGGTTTTCCAAATGTGAATGATGGCGAGAGCCTAAAATACCATAACAATAACATCTCAATGCGTTACCTGAACTGAAAGTTTTGAAAACAGATATGTCTATCTCCATTTATCGTCGGTGAGTATCACAATAGTCAGATAGACTTTCAAGGTGAAGATCAATGGGTATAACCGCGTTGTGTTCTGAGAAACTGCTTTCTATCATATTCAGGACGATTTGGTTAACATCGGCAATATTTCAAGGTTATACAGTAGGTAGATCGAAAAATAATACAAAAGTTTATATAAACATGTATCCTAAGATCCTCCTTATCGATGCACAGGGTATTGAAATCTAATGAAATTATATTTTCGGAGTGGAGGAAGATATGATTTACTAACAGCATATCCTCAAAATGTTCATGCCCGACGCTTCACCAATGACGTGGAAGTTGGAAAACATTATTTTCTAAGATACTGACTCTTTTGAACGAGCTCTTCCATTTTTGATAAGGTACTTCTCTTGAAAAATTTCTGTCAGACTGCTCATTTTGTATAGAAATTAGTTTTAAAATTTGATGTACAATCGGCTGGAAACAAACTTCAACTCGTTCTCCTTTAAATATGCTCAAGTGGAGTTTGACATGGAACATGTATGTAGGACATCTCCTTTCGATAGAGTTGCATGAGCAATAGTCAGTTTTCGGACCTTTCAAGTTCCTGTAACGTATGCGACCTGGCAGGTAACAGTGTCGCAATGATCATCTTAAGGCCTTACTGGTGGATATTCATTTTCCATTTATCTTGATAACCGGGCTATACTCAATATCCTGGACTAGTGTCTACATATAGACAAAATCAGTTTCAAGAACAGGCGCTAGTCGTATTATTTATACAAGTTGCATTGTCGTGTTTAAAATCACTGGTAGCTCTGTCTACATTTCGCGACAACAAAATTTATTTTATTTATGAGCGCTCTAAATTATGTGATGAGACTGACAGCGTAGCGTTCGATCTGGCAACACTCGAGGCACCGGGCTTGGAGGGGGGACAGGGGAACATGTGGTCCGCCTTTAGTACAAGTTTGAACTCGCTCGAGTCATTTTGTTGTCGGTAGCGATTTTTTTTGTGATACAATGGTTCCTGTTGTGTTCTAAAAATGAATGAATGAAAACCCTTGCAGTAGATAGAGCCGCGGCTTTTTTGGTGGTTTAAGGCATTTTCAGAAGGGAGAACCACGGAGAGGAAGGCCTTTAAGAACCGATCAAAGTATCGACAGAATCTGGGATCTTGCGCGTTCAGATCGTCGGTCGACAG